TGTTTTCCTTCATAACAAGCACACCCCTAATGTATGAATAAACCAAGATATACTTCAAGGAAGCATTAAACTTCAGAAGGATTTAATTCCTTAAGTTTGCTCATTATAGGTAAGGTGCGTGTTTAATGGCCTACTGACTTCCTCTTAAGATGGTAGCATAAACAATAAATATTCACTTCTACTGTAGATTTTTTAATTCTTTTGATTGCATACTATAATTTGTGTCTACAGTTATTATGTGTCCCTTTCTTCAGTTGACCTTGCATGTTATTTATGGTTTGAGCTTAAAGATCCCAAGAGACCTTTTTTCTTTATGCTTTTCAGTTTTGATAACATTGGGACAAGATTCTCGCAAGTATACAAAGGAACATAAGAAAACTCAAACAAGGAGTCACATGCAATCACAAAAATCAATCCTCTCGAGATCATTTAATGCTGTATTAAGAAGCAATCAAAATTATCATGCTGAAGATGTTTGAGAATCTCATATAAGAGAATAATTTTGTTTTTCTATAAGGAAATATTTGAAAAATTAGAAGTGGATATACAATCTTAAAATGTAGATGAAAAACATAAAGGAGTAAGTAAATGTGACCACTTTTAACTATAGTTGATTCCACTATGAGTAAGTAAATGTGACCACTTTTAACTATAGTTGATTCCACTATCTCCTAAACATGCTAATGCTGACACCATATCTTTGTCCTAAAACACACTATCAATCCAATCAAGCCAAATAAATTAGAGTTTCAAGCATAAAACATGTCCACAAACATTACCTTCTATAGTTTTATGATACCACAAAGGTAGAAAGAAGTACAGAACTCACTCAAACTATGACACAAACTTGTCTCGTCATTATAAATAGCCACAACAATGCCCTAGCAGAAGGGCAATCCACGACATATATGTATCTGACTCCTGCTATATACGCACATATAGACCAGTTAAGACTGATACCTCATTCAATGTATATAGTTTATGCCAAGCGTGAAGTGTACCATGGAGGACAATCATGGCAAATCATTCATTTTAGGAACATTCACTTTCCCAACCAAAAGACCGGAGTAACAAAAACCTGTGATGCTATGGATAACACAGCAAATACCAGAAAAAGGAATATCTCCTATGAGACCCTCCGAAAACCAAACACGTTCATAAACACCAAATCAAGGATTGAAGTGAAGTAGTCTATTCACATATCTTGCATCCTAAACATCTAATGAAGAGCGAATATCCTTGATTTTAACAACCTTTTTGCTAATCAGAAAAAGACTAATAGACACCAAGATCCGAACCGCAGAACCAAATCACAACTTACAAATGGTCTTTCCATATGTTATGAAAAAGCCCTTTATAAAGAAAATAATGCAACAGCCCTCAATTTTCTCCACCACCAATTCTGGGAAACTGAAGAAAATACACAAGTAAAGAAAGCACGAGATCCCAAAAGGTGATACAGAAAGGGCTATTGAAATACTTCACAAAGACATTCCAATATACAGAAAGGGGAACGCAAGATAGAGAACCCATACATGCCTCCTGGGCTTAGTTCAAGTGGCTAAGGTTGAGGGACTTGTGACTTAGGTCACAGGTTCAAGCCATGTGCTGCCATGTGAACTAAGATTGGTTTAAGTGGATGGTGCGTGCTAAATTCAGAAGCACAGCTCTGCAGGTCTCTATGATCAATGAACAACAACTGCAGGAGATAAACCTCCAGATATAATTGAAGAGGGAATTCAGAGAAGAGAGAATAATATTGCAATCACGCCTTCAACATTTATACAGAGGAATCCTATTATCCTTTTCCCAGAAGGATTCTAACTGTCTAACAAACTAATAGAATTTCGGAAGTGACTAAGAATCCAGTAAACTGCCCTTGATTAGCCTAATCATTTGCAACTAACTAACTAACCTCTTAGCTCAATTGTGTATATAACAGTGGAGAAGAGTCGAAGATCAGGCCAATCATCCCCAAGTTCCGGATACTGCAGTAGACTCAAGGATTGTCCCCAAACAGATTTCTTCAACATTGAAAAATAGATTGAGAACCCAGCCTTAGAAGTGGATGTTTTTGATTCTATAACTATCAATATGAACCGTAGCTAAAATTCCCATCCATATTTATTTCCACAGAGAGCCAGTGGCTAATAGACCTAGAAGGTTTAAAAGACTAACAAAGTGTAACTTTTTCGAACAGAAGAAAGGAATTAGCTACATCAAATGATTAAACATTAGATCATGAATACCTAGTCCAAAGCTAGCAATCAAACAACAATCTCCGCCCCGAACAACCGACATTATCCATCATAATCATAGTTGTTGATATATGAGTTTTTCAACATCCAATTGGTACTCACTAACACCGTGGCGGAAACTTACAAACTGTGCACCCTAGAAATACGGAGACAGGAAGGAACAGTTACGGAAATGCCCATTTGTGTGGCCTAATGTACGTAGTGCACAATTTATTTCTTTTATACTAGCTACACTATATTGGTGTATTATCAATGAAATCTAACAAAAAATAAATCCGTGCGACCTGTGACATCTTTACAAATTCTTCCAATATGCATACAATACATTCCTTATGACTTAACTAGCTAATCAAACAATAGCAAACACAGATCTTTGCAGAAAAAAAACAACACAAAACAAATCCGTAATTAAGAAACTGCAAATGTAAGTAAACAAAGCCGCAGTTACCTTAGCAACGGTGGTTTCAATCCGCTCGTGCTTCACTAATTGTGACACCATTGTCCTACAACAAACACATTCGAAATCATATAAACTTATCGAAGAAACACAAAGAGTACATAGAGGCGAGTAATGACGAAGAGAAGAGGAACCTGAGCATGGACATCCGATGTCCCGTCGGACGATTCAATTTCCTGAATTTGGTCATTTTGGGATCACCGGAGAAACGGGAAAGAGGAGAGAATGGGAAAATGGAGAAGAATACTGAAGAGTGTAAAACCCTGATTTTAGAGGTTTTAGCGGAGGATCCATAACCCGTTTTGATTTCGGATCGGTTAGTGAAAGCCCAATTTAAATTTGGTCCATTACTGGAGTAGAAATGTCACAAGATAGCCACTTTTAGAACCCTTATTTAAGTTCTATTCATTATTTGCAGGTTTGGGCACATTTTGGGGATTTGGGTCAACCCAAAATCGAAATAGAAATACGAACTTTTTTTAATAGGGAAAATTCTTTGGGTGAGTATTTTTTTTTTAAATAATTACTGATTTTAATGATATATTATTTATCGTAATATATGTAATATTATGATTCATTTGCATTATGTATTAAAAGTGAATTATGCATGTAATATAGATGTATTATAAGTGTTTCAAAAATACATTATGCTTATTTTTTAAGAAAGTGATCAATGTATTTAAAATATGATAAATGTTTGTATTATGTGTGCTTTATAAAATGTTTTACGTAGTACACAAATAAAATTGTATTATGATATATTATAAGTGTCAAATGAAAAACATTATTATTACCATATATGATAAATGTTTTCTTATTAGAGTGCATCTATATAAGTTTCCCTTTTCAAAAGAAAAATTGGATTTTGAATTTTACTTTTAAAATTTATAAATTTTATATTGGATAGAGGATGTAGTACTACAATTTTTTTTGGGATATTCGAGCCTTATATTTAATTAACACTATTTATATCATATGTATCCAATTCGCAAAGGTACAATAATAGATTGTTAATACTGCATGACGCACTTTATGTGTGTGGTAACAATTCAGATTTGAGAATGAGTCAAAATGGTTCATTTATAAAAAAATCAAATAGTTTTGTGAAATGATAGAACACTTTAAAAGTTAAAGTGTCTTTATGTAAATACGAAATAACTTTAATGATGTCTTTATATTTTTTTTTCCATAATATATATTGGACCCGTACAGGCACAATCATTCTCTAGTTTTTCTAAAATTTGTGAAGCTATTTAATATACAGAAAATAGGCTATTAGGTGGAATAGGATGTTGCCTTTGTTGTCGATTTTTTGGGGAAAAGTTTAACATGTAAACTTAAGTCAGTGGGACAAATAATTAGAAAAAAAATAATGAAAAGACAAATTAATTAGGAAAAAAAGAAGAAGAAGAGAGACAATAACTAGTGTTCACCTTTTAAACAACAAAATCTAACCTACAAAACACAACTTTAATTTGTTTTTAATTTCCTCTTTTAGATCAAAATCTAAAACACAAAACACAACTTTATACACAACTTTTTTTTTTAATACAAGGAGACTAATTTGGTAGCTGATGGTTTAGTCAATTTAATCTTTAATTTATATTCTTGTTTTGAACAACATTCACTTTAATTTGTTATTTATAAATTTTTTGTTCACTCGTTTCCATTATTCTCTATTACTTTGAAAAATTTCTAATTTTTTTTTATTTTTTTACTGTATTCGAACTGCATATTAATGTAACCAAATTACATTGAATGTATCATAGCTAGTTTTTAATGAATATGAACTACATATTAATGTATATGAGTCAGTATGCGATGTATTTGAGCAACATATTGTGTATTTGAACTATTCTTAAATATATTCGAGATAGTATTTAATGTATTCGATCTACATATTAATGTATCCAAGCTTCAATTATTGTATTCAATTTTTTAAAATTTCTAAAAAATTAATGTAATTAGAAACTTATTAGAGATAGATTATAATTTCATGTAATTAAAAAATAGGAAATTTATGTAATTGACACTTTCTATAAATTTAAACTATCATTTTTTTTTATAAATGTTATGTCATAAACTATTCATTATTTCATTTATCAGTCTAAACTATTAAAATACACTTTGACGTTGATTATTGAATGATAGCACTATTTGTCCAACTGATCAAATTGAGTTAATAATGAAGACCTAGTTCTAATTCTAATTAATGAATTAACATTAAATTAACTCTCTCAACCCTAAACCTACCATGCACATTTAAATCTTTAAATGCCACTAGATCAACCAAGTTTGTAATTGTATTTATTTCACTAATTCTTTTATAACAAAGTACACAAGGGAAGAAACAAAATACAGCTATTAAATTTTTCAGTTACATTACACACCGAATGGAAAACAAAACAACAAAGAACAATTTATTTATTTGTTAAGTAAAAAAGTACTTAAAATTTAAATATAAAATTAAAGAGAGTTGTGGAAATAAATATTTCTAAAGTTTAAACCCTACAAATTCTTCCACAATTGCCATAGCATGCATCCAGATCTTCACCAGCATCTGCCAAATGAAAAATAAAATAAAAAATAAATTATTAATGATTGTATTATATTTGATTTTTTAATTAAAAAATGCAATACAAATTAAAGGAAATACAAGGATATTAAAAAGGGGGTTCTATGTCTTTAATTTCACTCTCATTTAATTTCTATATGTTGCTTTCAAAGGTCATAATCAAATTATAAGCACAATGTTAATTAAATTTCACAAACAATGTTATAAATTTCCCACATATTCTTTCTTTTTTGACTAATTAAATACTATTCTTTCTTTACATTAAGAAATGGTCCATTTGGACTATAACAACATTACTATATAAAAAATAGACTAAATACAACTTAAAAGTGTCCATTAGACAATCGATCTTTAATCAATGTGAGACTCTTTAACATCTTTATATAAAAAATAGACTAAATACAACTTAAAAGTGTCCATTAGACAATCGATCTTTAATCAATGTGAGACTCTTTAACATCTTTGCATGCATGCATTCTTGGATGTGAATATTATTAAATAAGGGGTCCAATATTAGAACAAATAAAAAATAGAGATAGATCGATTAATTATATAAGTATAAGAAAATAAAACTTGAGCTAGCTTAACTCATTCTAAAAAATAGACAATGACATAATGTATAAAAATGATCCAAAATCATAATATAAGAAAATAAAACTTGAGCTAGCTTAACTCATCCTAAAAAATAGACAATGACGTAATGTATAAAAATGATCCAAAATCATAGTTTAAGAAAATAAAACTTGAGCTAGCTTAACTCATCCTAAAAAATAGACAATGACATAATGTATAAAAGTGATCCAAAATCATATAATTAGACAATTATTCATATTGTGGAGTTCAAAATATGAAGAAATAAAAACAGAAAAAAAAACTAAAGGGACTTCAACATTACTATATATTCATAAAAATAAACTTAAACCAAATGTGAATAGTGTGGCTTTTTGTCGAATGAACCCGTCCACCCTTCTTAATTTCGCCCCTATTAACGAACGTGTAAAGTCCAACACAACATGTAAAAATAGGTGAAATTATAATGATCATGGTGGGGTTGGGGTTGGGGTTGGTATGTACCGAACCTCCATCTGAGCCCTAGGAAAGAGAACGGTTCACCTTCTATGTGACACTTTTCAAGCACAATTTTGAGCTTTAAAATGAAATGTATCAAACACCAGATAGAAAATCATAAAAAGGAGAAAAAAGATAAATATGTATACCGAAGCGAAAAGCAACACATAGCTCCAAGGAGCATCCAATGGTGCAATAATTCTTGTATTCAGAAGAAGAAGTAGGAATACACTTGCTTAGACACTTGACATAACAAGGATCATTTCCTGAAGGTACTCTTGATTTCATAGTTAATAATATACATTTATTGTAACACCCACCCCAACAAGCATATGGACTATCTCCATTAACAATATACATTTCATTTCCAACTACAAACAACACTATCAAAAAACTAACAAAAATGCTAGTAATTCTCTCCATTGACACTTGGAATATTTTTTAGTTTTCTCTATCTCTTTTTTTTCTTCTTCTTTAATATTGTGAGGGTATGATTGGGAGAGGTGTAGTATATATGTACACTGCTACAGATGGAAAGTCCCAACTAATTTGGTGACTATTTATTCATGGTGTATTTAATTGTTGCATGGCTTTTTGCATTTAATTTCCATTTTCAATGGGAACCAACTTTTGGTCACACTAAGGTTCATGATGATATTCATTTCGTCCGCTTAGTTTCTAATTTATCCTTATTATTTATTATAGTCATTTCTTAAAAAAATAACAAATTTATTATATCAAAAAATGAATATATAGTAAAATTGTCATTCTATTTAGACATAATGCATAAACATATGAACACTCGGCCTGAGCTGACATCTAATGTTCTCCAACTTTGAATCTGCACAAATAATATTTAAATTTGTATAAAATTAAACAGTTGCAGGACCGTCATCGTCTCAACAAGTTTAAAGATAACTATTTTTATTGTTTTATTTTTTGGCACTGAAGGTTCATAATGATAGTTCACTATTCACTTTTACTTATCTATCATATTAGAAATACTCTTTCTTTTTTATTTAGTTATTTAGAAATCAAGAGATAATTTAATTGTTCGGTATATAGTTGGCTGTTTTGGAGCTGAGTTATGTAGGTATTAAATTCCGCATTAGTAATATCATATTTGATATTATTAGAGGTAAGTTATTCATGTATAAAAATAATACGATGTTTGATTTGTAATCTAGAAATAAGCATAACTAATATATGTATAATGAGGAAATGTATGTACTTTTTTATATAGGATATATAAAGTGGAATACGTAATACATAAATAACTCAACTCTGTATAACTAATATTTACACAGGATAATACACTGTACACATATATCCTCATAACTAATTCATTCATTACTAACATTTGCATAATTCTAATCAGTTACCTAACAATCCTTGTTCGTAACGTTTATTTTATTAATTATAGTCATTTTTTAAAACATCGACAGACTTATTATAAAAATATGATAAAGTTAATATAATAAACAAATAAAAATAGACAGAGAATGAAACGTTATATACCGTGAAAACCTCAAGCTCATGCATGCAATTCCATGAGAAATTTATTATTTCAAGTACAATAGTAGTTGCACTATTATAATATTGTGTTATAGGACCAGCCCCTACTTGTTTTTACACAACATGCTTCACCTAAAATTTCATGCAACTTATACCTATCCCCACTTCGATCCCTACCTCATAAAAATTTCTAATTCCCCTACTGGCGTTCGATCGGAAATTTGGTTCGTTGATAAGGAATTTTGATTTTAAAAAATCGTAAAATGTATACTAACGAGTTAAATTTCAACAAATCTGGCTAATCGATCGAATATTAGTGATATTCTGATGTCATGTTTAGAGTTGTTATAAATAGTAAATTTATGGGAAAATTGCGCGGATAATATGTCAGATATACAAATACAATTAGCCTTTCTCCACTCTCTTCCCTCTCTCCTCCCTCTTCCAATCTCTTTCGCCGGATATACAAATACATATCTATATCAGTTATATACATACAATCATCTGAAAGATATACATATGTAGTTCGTCTCTCTCCACTCTCATCCCTCTCTCGCTCGCTAGATATACGTATACATCTGTATATCATTACATACATACAATTATTTGACATATATACATATACAATTCGACATATATACATATAAAATCTGCCTCTCTCCACTCTTTGTCTTCTCTCGATTGCCTCTCTCCTCCTCTAACATATAGTTACGAATAGTAATTAGCAAAATAATTTGCTCTTTGTAATTTTTTAAATATTCTTCTGCTATTTGTTTTCTTCATTAATGTTTTGTAGTGTAGTAAACGATTGTCGAGAGTAATAATAGAAGAAAAGGAAAAGAAAAAAGACTTTGCTACAATACTTTTCAGAGTTATAGATGAATGTTTTTGTTGGCTTATATTAATTGTGACTCATCTCCTAGAGTTAATTCAACTCGATTCATGAACTTGTTATATACATTAGGCATAATATATATATATATTGAACCCTAAATTTGGCTTCAATTTTAACTTTGACCTCCAATTTTCATATTGCACAAACAGAGACTTTAACTATCCAACTTTTAAATAAATAAATACATGGCACAATGAACTTAGGACATCACGTAGGACAAAAAATGACATGTAGGATGACATGTAGGACATGTGTGTGTATTTATTCAAATTTATACAAGTTTAAGTGTCTACTTGTGCACACCCAAAGTTGAAGGTTAAAAGTATGATTTGAAGCTAACTTAAAGGACATATTTATGTATTATGCCTATACTTTAATCGCACCGTTTGACTGGATATATGGTGTTTAAGAATTTTTTTGAAAAAAAAGAATTGTTATCTAATATAATTCTTAAATATTTTTGTGAAAGTAAATTATTTTATTAAGGATAAAATATAAATTTTAAAGTTAAATATAATTTTTTTTTAGAAATCTCATAGTGTTAGAAGCTATTTACTTTCTCCATCCCAACTCTTCTAATTTTCAAAAATCTTTTCAATAACAATCCCAATACATAGAAGTTGATACATTAGAAATCGTTTATGTTATGCTAGAAAGGGGAAAGAAACATAAAATCAAATTAACATCCCATAAATTACGCAGTCATATTCATATCATCAGAATTTTCACCATCACAACGCATAATAACAACAAAAAATTCAAAATTCAAAATTTTTCTTCCAATCATCAAAGATTCTATTGAATTTATTATAAGATACGTCATGAATATCATCGTCAGGAGTTTGAAGAATTTTTGAGCTTCTTTGAGGACTCTTAGTCTCTTCCTTTGCGCCGCCACCGCCATCTCTATGATATTTTCCTGATCCCATTAACATTGACTATATACTTATATACTAAAACCTAAATTTGAACTTTTGTTGATTCTGCACCGTAAAGTAAATTAAAAAAAAAAACAGGATACAATATCGATGGAGCAACAGGTTGAATTTATATGTATTTTTTTTTTGTTGCAAAATTTATGTATAAATAGCATGATAGATTTAATGTATCAAATATATGTAATATAAATTCATATTTACATATTATATCTATAAAATTATACATGATACATTGCTATTTATGTAATTTATTCTAATTAAAAAATACTGTAGTTTAGAAAAGATATACATTATACAAGTAATTATTCCCAAAAATTGCACATGATACATTTATGTATCTTTAAGTGATATGGACCTAATCTTGTTAGGTATTAATATTTCGTTGATGATCATCAAAGTTGCTCCTCATGTTCAAGATACCGTGAATTCTTTTTATTACAATCATTTATGAAAAAAAATTTGTACTTATGTGATTCATAAAAGTTAAAAAAAAAAGGGCTACTTACTAGAAATTATTTTTAACAAAATCTCTATATGTATGTATTCGTAATGTGTGGATATGTGTATATAATGTATTAATATTGTATAAGTATATATAGAGAATGTATAAGTATGTATCAGAGATATATATATTGTTTATTGTATTGATTTTGTTCAGTTTTAACCAACTCAAATCTTTTGGGAACAGTCTAGCAATTCTTATATGAACTCCTTTCAATGTTAAGTAATATATTATTCGATCAAAAAGATTTACATTTCAAATAATTGAGGATGTTTTTAATACTTTCAAAATTATAGCAAATAAAATATCAAATCAAATGTGAAATAAATTGTATACATCTTTTATCTTACATTTTTTATGATTGAGTTTGTGCTTAACACAGGTCATGACCCATCTAGCTAGCTCTAGGAAAAAACTTAATCCGTTTTAATATCTACAATTAATATGAAAAGATATTTATAATTCTTTTCAATTGATTTAATAAATGAATTAAAATATTTTTCATATTTAAATCAAAACCAAATCTATGAGTCACCAGCCAACTAACATAAACAAACAGAAAAAAAAAGTTATTACTTGAAGCCAAAGAAAGTAAATGAGAGACAAAATTGCGAGGAAATGGTGATTTTAAGCGTTTCAAATCCTCATGTTCAGGAAAATAGGCATCCGTTCACTTTTACTTATTTAATATTTAAAAATAAATTTTCACCTATTTTTTTTTCATATTTTTTTGATTCTTGTATCAAAAATATATACTTCTTTTTATTTATTCAATTTAGAAAATTAAGAAAATTTTATCATTGTATTAATTATCTTTTATCCTTAATATTAATCAAATTTAGAGTTTCAAAATATATTAATAATACTATAAGAAACATACATTTCCTATAAAAGTTTTCTTAGGGATGTGACATGTCAACATGGGATAAGTAATATAAAGGGGAGGAGTACTTATCATTTTTAACATATTTAAAAAAAAATTAGTCTTAATGTCAATTACTTGTTCTTCAAATTGTTTTTCAAGATTTAAGGTATTATAATAAAATACTTACATTAATTATTATTCTCAAAAGTAGTACAAAATCCAAAGTGAATAAATCAATGTACGTCCACAAAATTTCAATCTTTTTTATTTTCTTAAATTTTGAGTCAGTTCAAAATCAGATAAATAAATTGAAATTTTTTGTATATATATATATGTACACACACTTTCTTTGTTCACTTTTACTTGTTATGTTTGGACTTTGTCAACTTCTTGGAAAACAATGATTTACATTGATATTTTACTACAATATTCATATTAGTTGATGTTTAGTCTAAAGTAATTAATGTTGAGGGTGAAAGATGAAAATATATACACCCTTGACGACTCAATTTTTTTGTTATTTTCTTAAACTTCTTTTCAAGTTAAAATAACATAAAACTAAAGAAATATATAATTTTTCTATTCATATATTAAATTATAATGTCATATTAAAAACCATATATTTAAAGAATACTTTTATTATATTATCATTTTTTTTGTTCAATCAAAATATTCCGTTATATTTCAGATTGAATCTTAATTCAATTATTATCTTAACTCATAATTTACTCAAATTTGATCCAACCTGTCCAGTTGCAAATAGTTACTCGTGTTCCAACCATGTGAATCTTTTTTTTTTCTTTTAGAAATTACAGCAACAATGAACATTTCGAAAAGAAAGATGTTATTGTTACCTGTGACTTCTTTTTATGCTAATATATTAATATTGTATAAATAGTTTATAATTGTGTATAGATAATGTATAACTATATATCAGAGATACATATTCTTCTACATACATTGTTTATACAATAAAATATACATATTACAGATCAATTTTTTCAATCTCAATCAACTTAAATTTTCTCTAAACAGTTTCATATATTATCCATTCGAAACAATTTATATTTATGATTTTGTCAAAATACTTTTCATATTAAACCATAACTAAATTTGCAAGCCACCAGCCAACTAACACAAACAAAGAGAAAACAAAAAATTACTGCTTGAAGCCAAAGAAAGTAAATGAGAGACAAAAATTGCGTAGAATGAACAAATACGCAAAGCTGTGACTATAAACGTTTCATTTTCCAATGTCCAAATGTGGAAAATATAATTCAATGTTTACTTTTATTTATTTGATATTTTAAAATTACAATTAAGTAGTTTAGGTGATACCTTTTTTATTTTAAACAAGTCTATAAGACTAAATGATATTTTGATACAATCTATATATTTTTTATTTAAGATTATCAAATTTAAAGTCTTCTTTATTTTTCTAAATTTAAGTTAAGTCCACGACAAACAAATTGAAACGGAGAGCAATGTTTTCTTATAATATATACTCTCTTCATTTATCTTTATTTGTCTAGTTTAGACTTCGCAATCCTCTTGGAAAGAACGATTTATAAGAATATTTAATTATAATATTCATAATTAATTAATATTTAATTTAAGTAATTAATATTAAAAATAAAAAATAAAAAATAAAAATATATCTCTTTCAATTTTCGCATGATATGTTTAAGAAAGATATATCGGATCAAACATATCTATTACTATATTCAGAATGAAACAAGAGGAGTTTTACACTTCATTGGGAAATGAAACATGACAAAGTGATTTTATGTGAACAAGAAAAGTAACTAAAGGCCAAGACACATGTTGAAAATTTTAGTTAAATTTTGCGACTTCCTAGGTACATTATATATTTGTTTTTACTAATGGAAAAAACACACAAATAGAGATAACATCCTAATAAGTGCAAATAGTAGAATAGATCAAATCAAATCAAAAAAAAAAATAAAAATCAAGAAATCATCTACTATATATGAAGAAGATGTTGGGATGTGGTAGAATAAATTGTATGGTTATGATTATAATTTTATGGCTTTTGATGTCAAAAATAGTGAAAATGGAGGATGAAGTTGTACCAACAAGAGATGTCTATGGTTGTTGGGGAGGATGTTACAATAATTGTTTTCTTCTTCAAAAAAATAGTGATGATGATAAAACTTATCAATGCTATTACAATTGTTTGAACAATTGCACTCCTATTAGTACTCCTACTTCTTCTACAACATCATCCCCTTTAAATTATGGGAGTTTATGCCAAGGTGGTTGTTTCTTGATGATTTGCATCCCACTTAGCTTTGGTAAGTAATCTCACTTTTTTTTTCTTATTTATGATGCTAAGGAAAGTTCTAGTGAGTTAAAGTAAGATATATATGATACTATTTTAATTTAAGTGTCTTACGAATTTAGTTATTGTCTAAATCTCTGTTCTAAGAAATTTAAAAAAAATTCATTTTTTACCAAGCGCTTTTACACAAAGCAATGAATAAGTTGCTCGACGGCAGGGGCAGGGGCAGGGGCAGGGGTCTTGTGCAGTAAACCCTCTAAGGACAATTTTCAGTCTTTTGTGTAGCATGAATCGACTCAAACAAAACAAACAAGAACCTAACCCAGAAGTTTTGAATTTTAATATTCTATGAATCACGATTTTAAAGTACTAATACATTTTTAATTTAATAGTATGTATTTCTTTATTTCTTTAATATCATGCACAATTAAATCAAGACACTTAATATGGGACAGAGAGAGTAATATAGTTCCACCACCGACAATTGTGGTGAAGAAATAAGGTGTCCTCCATCCTTTACTAGAGATTTTCAAGGTCGAATCCTAGGTACGGAATCATGTTTGATGAAGGAATAAGTACTCCTCCGTTTTTCAACTATCTCTCGTTAAATCTAAGTTGATCGGACTCTTTAAAAATGTTATTAAAATTGTATTGAATCCTAAAAAATGCGCTATTTTTAAAGAATTTGACACGAATCTGATGCCATTTTGAAAAAGTCGGACCAACTTAGACTTACATTATTTTTTTGCTTTATCATAGTTTCTAACAAACTATTGGAAATATGAAATTTTGACTTGGGCAGGTGGTGCAAATATTGGAAATTGCTTGGCAAATTGTGGAAACCTCTGCAAATTTTTCAACACATTCACAAATATGAAGCTAAAAGATTAAGTAGTCAATTTGCTTTATGTGTACTCTTAAGAACTTCCTTCAAACTTACTAAGTGAAATTACCAGCTTACCCTTCATGTATCTCACGAATTACTTGTTTGTTTCTTTTGTATTATAAAAGATCAATATTCTCTTTTTAATTGTTCAAGGTTAAATTTGACATTAAGAAATAAATGAGACCAATGAATTAAAAGAAATTTTATATTCGATTTATATTATCTTTCTTTTAATATGTTTATGTCTTTTTAAGAATAGTTAATATCCTAATCATAAGAGTATTTGTTTTTTTTTTCTCCTTAAACATTTCAATTGATGAATATTACTAACCAGAACAATAAATGTAGATTAATTTGGGTTGGAGTTGGGGGTTTAGTATAAATAATTTCTTGTTCTTCTAAAACTACTACTTATATTATCAAATATTTTGGAATAACCACAATGTGTCAAAACAGCTAATATTTGGAGTCTAGGATGAAGTTAACATATTTCAGGACTAAAAAAGTTGGTCAATTTTACTCTTTAAGTAATTGAATTTTGAAAGAGTGAGAGAGAAAAGGGCGTGTATTGATCGGTTTTGTTCGATTTTGAAGTTTATTATTTTTCAATTTATAGATATGTTAAATCGTAATAGAGCTATTAAGATATTGATTTATTGATTATTGATTTATCGTTTAGTGGTCGTTATAGATTTAATCGTAAAAATTTAACATTAAAAAATCACTTAGAAACAAGGCGATAAAAAAAATCAACCATGCACATTAGTTGACAGATTGCATCTTGCTCAAATATAAATACAAACATATTATAGAATAACCAAAAGTTTGAGATCCAACCAAAATTAAGAATATGAAATTAAATTATAAAACAAGAATTTTATATATCGAATGACACAAATTTAATTTATTAATTTACGGTTGGCTTATTGACTAATCCTTTAAAAGAAAATTCTCAAATCATTAAGAACCGATAACCTAATAGCACAAAAAATCAAAACTATTTTCCGGTTCAAATTATAGGTTTAGCATGGTGACTTTAATTTGGCAAAGTACTTTTATCAGAACAATGATAGGATGAATATGATATGTTTAATCAAAATTATTAAGTTTCAATCCCTGAAAATGGAAAGAAAAAATTACATAAATTAATACATTTTAAAAAATAATTACTGATTTTAGCGATACCTTTTGTTTATTACCATTTATAGCAATATTGTGATAAATCTGTCATATGTATTAAAAGTGAATTATGTATGCAATGTATTTGAATTATAATTGTTTTTAAAATATATTATATTTGTTTGGTAAAAAATTGTCACATTGTATTATAAGTGTATTAAAATGTGTGATAAATGTATTATCCATCATTAAAACTTGTATTATATGTGAATAATAAATTATATGTTTATATAAATAATTTGCTGAAAAAACCCGAAAATCCAAATCCTGGTAGAACAACCGGTGGAAACAAAAAATGCAAAATAATTGGCTTGTAACAAGTTCACATCCTTTTATATTTCTCAAATTGAAAAAAATTACAGGACAAGTGCAAAAAAGACCAATGTATATACATCCAGTTATACACATTTTCCCAAATTCAAAATGCAGTTTTAATCTTGGATTCACCTCTAGTTGATATATGTAGAGGCGGATCTACAATATCCACTTAATACGTATAAACAATCTAATCCTGAACCCAGTAAGCAAAAAAGAATTGTGAGTTCAGGACGACCATAACGTTAAAATCTTGAATCCGCCTCTGAATATATACAGCTACTAGCAATACACTTTTAACCAGAATGACTGAAACTAACTTCTCCTAAGAAGATATACATGTGTGTGGTATTACAAGAAACTGGAACACAAGTGAAGTCTTGTGTATATATATGATTGATGTTGGTTTTTCGACTATCCAAATGGATTTCCTCCAACAGATGAAAAACTGTTTGATCTAGCTGGTGCGTAAAATGCATCATTGGACTGTTGAAGAGGATTTAAGGAAGCGAAGGCGGAATCATCTTTGCCGAAGCTAGTATTCCCTTGTGGACTGTGATGAAATATTGAAATGCTAGTTAATTTACATGATAAGAACTTAGGAAACAACTCAGTCATGGTTAATTTACATGTGGTCTAAGATTGCGAAGCCAAAAATATAGAACAGAAACATTACTTGGCAAGGGCCATGTTGTTGGGAACTTGTTGCCCTGCATATGCCCCTGCAACATTAGCAAAAGATAAGATCAAATGTCATCACGAACTGAGAGTTGAAAAGTTCAAATTGGTACATATTGAACTATATGATCATCTCGTCTAAAAACTTAAGCAGTCGGAGAGAGCACATTCGTTTACTTGATTTCTAATGTCATAAGAAGTCGATCTTACCTCCAGAAATGGTCATCCCATAGTTAGTTGTCTGTGGAGGCATATGCATTGCCAAAGCATAAGGCTGAGGCTGTACATTTGTTGGTAGTGCTGCTTGCATAGGTAACATCGAAGGAAACTAAAAAAAGAAAGGAACTTCTTCGAGTCAGAGAGTGAAATGAAATTAGAACGTCGATCTATTGGGATATAGTAGGTACATATCCCACAGGGTTACGAAAAGCTTGTTAGCTAAATCGTTAGTAGTACTAACTAAATACGTCCAGAGGTTAATAACCTTGGTGAGCATGTAAATGATTGGAAGACACAAGGGAATCATCTCATTACTTCCATTCTAAGAGATTTATCTCCCTTAAACTGGATTTGTTCACTAAAACCAAAATTAAACGTACCTCTGGGGCTTGAACTTGAGGGCCATCGTGGCTAATATCGAATGGATTTCTTGTTTTTGCTGAGTTTGGAGGAGCTGAAATTGCCTGTAATCATCAGTTCATTTTATATTAGAACATTAACTTATTCCATTGTTCAAATTTTGGTTGAGTTTTAAAATGTGATTTACCATTACAGACGGATGGTATTGCATGCCATACGCCATTCCATGAGGGGGAAACTGCCAACCTGGAACAGCTGCAGCAAGTGGAGGATAGCTCGATGTGAAAAGGTCCTGTATCAAAATTATCCCCATTTAACACTCTTTTTTGGAGATATCGACCTACTTAAGATGCTTAAGAATTCAGTTTGAAAGTTACCATTGGGAGTTCTTTTCTTCCATTAGTATTTGGATCATTTGATGGACTAGTATTTAGAGCTGTCGTAGAGGCAGCTTGAGATGGTTGAAGAGGTGATGGATCCGTTGGCGGTGCTTCAGCATTTCCTGTAGGCTGCGAAGTATTTTTCTGCCAACAAGCACGAGAAACAGAATCAGTTGTATCAAGCCTCGTTTCAAATGCTGAAGTTCCGCATTTACAAATACTGAATTTCAGCATTTGAAATACTGGTGAAATATTGAAAAACTTTCAGGTGAAATAATGATTCCCCAAGACAAAATTTCAACCTTTTTTCAACTGAAATTCATATCCAAACACAACGTCAACTTCCAAATATTGTTTTTCAACTTCAGCCAAAGATTGTTGGACGTCTAGTTACGGAAAATTTTGCTTCATTTGTAATGCGTATAACTAGGGTAACTTGACAAACTTTTCTCACCTGACCATATGCAACTCCAAATGATGCAGTACTTTGTTGAACATTGGGGCTATTGATCCCCACGGGCACTGCAGAATGCTGATTATGTATCGGTATCGCTGTGGAATCATTTGGTCTGGGAAACAATAAGGTACTCTCGAACGAAGCCACAGGAGGTCCAAAACTACTTGAAACTACAGGGGAAGCTCCAGCTGATTGAGTGGCATTCGTCGAAGCTACAGTTCCAACTGGCGTAGCTTCAGTAGCAGCTGGAATTTCTGTCGACGCAACTGGTGGAGTTGACATGTCAATAAACAAAGATTCCAGTAAATCCATGTTGGAAACCTTAGCTGCTGAAGAAGGTGGAGTTGTAGTCTCTTTAGGTGGATCTGTTTCTGTTTGTTGTGTCTCTTGCTGAGGCTGAGGTTCAGTTTCCCAATCAATTAAGCTATCAATATTGGCGATCGCTGCCTTATCCTTTTCCTTTTCCTTTTTCTGAAATTAAGAATTTTATAGATCATGTAACATTGATATGGAAACCACCTCCGATTTATTGTTAATCCGAGCAGAAATCAAGCTTAGAGAATAGTGATCTTATTCAATAACAGATGAATAAGACTCAAATTCATCATTTTACTTGAGAAAAGAGCTTCATCGATAATGATAAATAAGATATATGCATATGAAAATAACTATTGAATTGTGTGCGGCGACACAAGGAGAGAACAAGACATTTAAGATACATTGTTACAGGACTAGGTACTCTAGTTGCTGTTTTTATACTCTTGTCAAATTTTATAGGCTAATGTTTCATCAGACACAAAATTTAAGAAAGACAGACTTTTAGCGTCTACTGTAGTATTTCTTGAAACTCGTGGTCTTAAAAATATCATAACACGTCTATAACTACAATAGCATTTCATTAAGGGTAAACTGAGAAGTCTAACGTTAAGGAGTTTTCAAATATAGAAAGATACTACTTTGACTACAAAGGGAAGTGTCATAAGTAACTTGAAATGATCACAAATCTCACCTCATCATTAGCAGAGATTTCACGAGTAACCCCGCCAGCACTTTGTTTAGGAGACTCACCAACCTCTAGTGGTATAACTTTATCACCCAAGATGTCTTTGATCGAATGTATTTTGGGGGAACTAGCAGGTGAGTCACTTCTACGCTCTGATTTTGAGAATATATGATATTGATATCGCTTAACATCACTAGTTCCATCATCTCGGAACCTGTCATCAACTATTTCAAAGCGCGATGATAGGCTCCTCTCCCTGTTAAACCTCGCACCTTGGTTGTAGTTACGGGGACTTCTTCTATCCTCGATATTGGAATATGATCTTAAGTTCATATCATCATTCCTTCTTGGACTGTATGTTTCAGATGAACATCTGTCAGCATCTCTAGCTCCGGGACTGTACATTTCCTTGTAGTCATCTTTATAACTCTGCAGAATACAAAACACAAGTGTCTGAAGAGGAGTAGGAAAGATATATGTACAAATCCACAACGGATTGTGTCCTTCAAGTCACACGCTGCTGTGTACCACATCGTTTCAAACAAAGTTTTACTATAGCATTCCTCTA